TTTAAACAACTTCGCGACCTCCGAGAAAGCTGAGCTTTCCGCGACTCTCTGGAAGAGGAAAATTGAACGTCTCCGGAGGAAACAATTCGATCGTCCGTGTTACGCTTCGGAACATCGATTCCATTAATGTAAAAAGCGTCGATACACTTGATAATCGTTATGGTAACAGAGTCCGCAGCGAATGACGTTTGCAATTTATTTTCGACACGTCCGAGAAAAGATTTGTCGCTGACGCGATTGTTACGTCGTGAACGAATGCACGCGATAAATTGAATCGTAAAAGCAGCTGATCGTTTTCGACGCGCGAGTGCAACAGCGGCACATGTGACACGCTAGTGCAATCATTAAGAATGTGATTGTCGGTCGTTGTGTGCGCGCGGGGCACGCGTGCCAATTTTATCCTAGCTTAGTGACCCGCATCCTCCTCTTCGCTCCGCTTTTCAATGAACTTCGACGATCCGAAATTCATTCTCGACAACCCAGCAACCAAGACCCCTTTCCGAATCGGGACTCGCTCCGTTGCCTTCGCCGTTACCTTCCGACTTCCAGCGCATTTCTGCCGAACGGTTCGAATCGCGTATCGTCGGCCTTTCGCGCGATAACGATTAACGTGCCCCACTATAAAAAGATTACGAACACGAATCGATATCGAGGCGCTTAGGCAGTAAATATAACAGTTTGCAAAGCGTATTATTTCGCGATACGCGCCCCGCACGGAACGCGTCCTAAGCTAGTTTACGAGGACCGTTCTTCGAATCGTTTTACAGCCCGATGCATTTATGACCTACGATTTTTTGCGCGAATCGCTCCGCACGTTACGTATCTGGCCGATGCTATCGGAACGATCGTCGAAACGTGCCTGGAAATACCGAGCTGCTAATAATTGATAAGAACGTGCGGTGCTTTAACTAATTATTTAATCGCCTCGAAACTTCGTTTCGTCTTCATCTAATCCGCGAAGAAGACAATGGAGGAAGAAAGGAGACTCTGCTTGAGAGTCAGTCATAAGTACTGTCCAGCCATAATCACCCCCTCCTCAGTCATAACTGCTTCTACTTCGTAGAAGAAAATTATTTGAAGACTCCCAATTGTAGCTGGAAATAATAGATATAAAAAAGAGAGAAAAGAATCTTCATCCAGGACCGAAATGTGAGACAGAAACAACCCCCTTCGTCCAGCGGATCAACCCCTTGGGTACCGATTTATTTGAGAAAATTCTTGCGTTTGAAACGGATTTAATTTGCTGATGCGAATTGGACTAATTATCCGCGACTCGGACAGAACGAGTGCATCGTCTCAGTCGTCGAACGTACCGAAGGGGTTAAAAAGAGATTCCCAGCCGAATCTTGTCAGGATTTTAGACGAGATTCGAACACCGCGACTCTCGCCGGTATTTACACACGATTCCCGACTTGTTCGGTCCGCATCGATGCGCACGAACCTGCATATCGCACGCAGGATTCTGGTCACGCAGCACTCATGAATGAAAGTTCGCTCCGCGTGTCTCCGTTATCGTCTCTTTTCGCCACCGCGGCACGAAGTTCGCGTCGCGGGGCCACGAATTCGCTCGCGTGTCCTCGATCGTAGATATCCGCAGATCGTCAGGCTCGCCAAAATGAACGCCGCGAAACGATATCGTTTCGTAACGCGTCGCGCGGCGCCTTTGATCTTGCGATCAGCTGTTCAAAGGCACGACGCAGTGACCCATTTCCGAGCGAGTCGGAGGGCTGCTTTCGCGCAAAAAGCCGAAAGCGGGGCCCGCTCAAAAGCCGTCCAGAGACAAAGAAACTCGGGGAAACCGCGTTGTTGTTCGGCTTGATGAGCTACTTAAGAAGCAACCCCTCGCGGTCTTCCGCGGGTCTACGAGGAATGCTTCGAATTCCGTGATAGTTTCCCGACGAGGTTGCCGCATTCGAACGTCCGTAGCGACCTCGACGAGGTCGCGTCGTTCGAATCTTCCAGGTTCGAACGATCCGGAAGATTTTTCGACGAAGAGACGCAGCTTTAAAGCTGCTAAAGACGCTGCGTGTTCGGCGAACCTCCGCGGTTTAGACTTTGCACGGAAAAAATGGAAGGGTACGCCTGTGCGCGCCGATGTCCAGGAACGTTCCGCGAGCTTTTCCAGCTTTCGGTTTAACAGTCTCGGCGGAGCAGATGCCGAGGAATCGGCGAAGGCTCGAGCAGAGCGGTCGCGAGGCCGCCGCGCTGGTAAGACGAAAAATTGCGTAAAGGCTCTCCCGTCGACTGGCTGCCGAGAAAATCAATTAACCTGACGCCGAGTGCAGCAGGTCAACGGGTTCGCGCGGGTTACCCGATACCCAGCAGGAAGGAAGGTTCGCGTTACCGGCGTTACTCGTTCGAACCAATTAACGAGACTTTTTCGCGCAGTGCATGCTCGCGCGGCTTACGCAATCGTCGGGGGGGAAAAGTCAAGGGCGCTAAACCAGGAGGACGATCGGAGCCGGGCTTACTTACGGGCTGGTCTATGTGCTCCCATTTCTCGTTCAGGTAATCCCATTTCTCTTCCGTCATGGTCAAAAAGTCTCGGGCTGCACAAACGAATATCCCCGGACGAGACGCGTCGCCGCGGCGCTCAGGAACGGAGAGGACGAACCGAGGAAACCGGATGAAAATGAGGCTTCTAGCTGTGCGAAGAGGCAATCTCGGCGCCCCTCTAGAGATCACTGAAAGCTTACATCACGCGATCCTCAAGCCCTACATCGACTCTACTTCCGACGGCTAGAAATACTAACGGCGGCTCGCGACCATGGGAACACGATGTGTATTTTGGGCGAGCGATCGCGCTCGTTCCGCTTCATGAAAATCGCTCCGCTCGGCCAAACTCCTTCTTCTCTCTTTCGGGGACTCATTTCTACGACGATCGAACCGTCCCGGCGAGTCTATCGCGCGTTCCCTTGCTTCCCGTGGAAAAAATGCGAGATACGGGATTTCGCTGGTCACGGGTTTTCGCGCAACTTTCCGACGAATCTGCAGTTGCAATTCGCGACCGTTGCATTACTTATCAAGCTACTTATCGCGCGTTCGTTATCGCGCGGCTCGTGCAGAGGAAAAACATCTGGACGCTTCCAGCATCTTCGGCGTACCAGCCATCCTGTGCTCTGTCTTGTTTTTTAATTTATCTTTCTCAATTTATTCCTAATTTATTTTTCTACATAGTCGTTAACGCTGAACCTACCGTGCCGGTCAAAATGATCAAATTTTCACGTTTTCTGTTTGAAAATTGTTGAAATTATAAGGACTCTTTCGTATATTGCAATAGAACTGGCGAAAAGTTTAAGTAAATTCGACACCGTCGCTCTTCGATGCTTGATTGGTTTAGCGTTAAATATTCGAACGGGAACTTTGTCAACCTCCTCGGCTGTTGGGTCCGTTCTCTGTCGCAATGTTCGAATTTTCTGACAGCCAGTTCTAATTATCAGCTGTTTACGCTACATCCAATAGGAGGATCAACCTTGACACCTCGGGGATGTATTTACAAGAATTTATACACGAGGATTCGAATGGATGTAGCCTTTATCTGTAATAATAAGAGACTTATTAACGATATCAGTTCATTATGACAACAACAATAGAATAATGTAACAATGATAACTGCGGCGTTGAAAAGCCACTTTTAAAGACCGAATTTAATTGCTGTTATATTTGCTTGCTAAATCTTTGGAATAAAACTATTATTATACGTATCCGGATTTGTCAAACAGAAATTCTCGTTGAAGGAATTTTAAACGGCAATTCTTTCGAATTGTTTATATTTACAAGTTCGCTACAGGCTTTCACAACGCAAAATTGATGAGCACACAATGTCAGGATGGCCGAGCGGTCTAAGGCGCTGCGTTCAGGTCGCAGTCCACATTGTGGGCGTGGGTTCGAATCCCACTTCTGACAAAACATATCTTTTGGACATTTGAAGTCGCTTTCAGAGCCCTCGGCTATGACAATTGAAGCTCCGTGTATATATTTACTTTCCTACGTAGCGTTATTGACGATCCAAATGAACGAATAAAATAACGTTTTTTCAATTCCGGTACTAATCACAAGGGTTGGCGGAAGAAACGGTGATTCTTTTTTTTCTATCATTTTATCGGCCACATATGGGTAAGCTGTATCTACTAAATTCTTTAAATATCGAATAAAATAAAATAGTGGAAGATCAACGATCCGCTTTCAGACATCGTGAAACAAACGAAAACGCGTNGCAAGGAACATGACGGACGAAATCTGTGATTTACAATGGAAAATAAGTACGCAAACACTGCAATACCTATTAATTATATAAATAACAAATATAAATAAAATAAAATTACTATACGAATAAAAGAAAATACTTTCTCGATTATTGCAATTTCTTAACGTTACATAATTGCTAATTATTTATCGGATGACGCGAGCTTATCGGAGACGCGATAACTCGGTGTGATCTGCTTTTTCATTTATAGGCTCGATGTTGGACGAGTTGGATTCTTATCATGGAGTGTACAAATCTTCTGTTGGACAAATTGATTTTGAATTTGGCTTATTCGAGGTTTCGGTGGAAAGTTTAAAAATAGATCTGGCGACGATACTTGTGACAATTTTGGAACATGTTCTCCCATGTCAGGATGGCCGAGCGGTCTAAGGCGCTGCGTTCAGGTCGCAGTCCACATTGTGGGCGTGGGTTCGAATCCCACTTCTGACAAAACATATCTTTTGGACATTTGAAGTCGCTTTCAGAGCCCTCGGCTATGACAATTGAAGCTCCGTGTATATATTTACTTTCCTACGTAGCGTTATTGACGATCCAAATGAACGAATAAAATAACGTTTTTTCAATTCCGGTACTAATCACAAGGGTTGGCGGAAGAAACGGTGATTCTTTTTTTTCTATCATTTTATCGGCCACATATGGGTAAGCTGTATCTACTAAATTCTTTAAATATCGAATAAAATAAAATAGTGGAAGATCAACGATCCGCTTTCAGACATCGTGAAACAAACGAAAACGCGTGAAACTTAGTCATCGTCTCGCGCGACCACATGCGTAGGTATTTTTACTTTGATCGTTGTTGATCATCCGTTCGACGAAGCATTTCTGATTTTTACGTTTTCCCTGATTATTCCTGCATAGTTGACGGAATTGATACATTATGTAAGTATTCTGTGGCAATAATTTTATGAAATGGACATTTGTATCCGAAAGAATACAAAAAAAAAATAGGGCATTGCGAAATTATGTTTACTGCAACGTGTATTGCATTACTTAGGAATGTCCATCGATCTTTTCTACTTGTTTCGATTCGTTGCAGTTTCTGTAATCTTCCTTACAAGAACGAATAACGTAAAAGAATGATATTGTAAAACGAATTGTTGTAAACGCGTGGGCGACACACGGTAGGACTCTCAATAGTGTGACGACAGAAGGGACAAACAAAATCGCGAAGTGAATAACAGTTGATTGTCAACATGGCGGACAGCGATTTGCTTATTACTATTTCAGGCGCCGCGCTCTCGTTATTATTCTACGAATATGTTCGCAGCCGCGGAGATCAGGTAAATACCATCTTCAGACTCTTGATTGTCACTAAAAATTCTTTTATTTTGAAGCATTCGCTTGCTCAAAGTATCCCGCAAGCTTGGCGTCATAACCTCAAATTGAAATCTAACCTTAATGCGATACGCGAACGAAAGCACAGAAACAAACGAATTTTTGGTTCTCCGTGTTCTAGATGGGTTTTTTGCTAGGGGAGAACCTTGAGTTCGTAGTGAAATCTTACACGGATGCGGAAAATCAAATAGAAACTGTGAAGAGACACAACAGTAAATATACTCGACCGCAGATTGTCATAAGGATTGGAAACACGTCAACAGGATTTGCCATAATGGATTTTCATGTTTTTAGATATTGAAACTGTTGTCACTTGCCCATTGCCAGATCTTCTACACGATTCTATCGGTAGAATTAATAAGGAGAAATTGAAGGACTTTATGAGAGATAAAAGCAAACAAGTGATCGGTTGGTTTCGATTCAGGCGCAATGCTAACTTGGTGCTTACCATGAGGGACAAAATATTGCACAAACAATTTGCTTCGCATTTCTCTGGAAGTAACGGTTGCGCGGAAGAGTTCTTTGTTACATGCCTATTGAGCTCTTCGATCTCCAGCGATAGAGGCACGCATAAGTTTAAACATGTCTTCTTGAAATGTGCAAGAGGGTAAGTACGAACCGATCGCAACAACGATTATCGAATGTCTGTCCTACTTAATAACTTTTTATTAAATAGTCTTTTTGATTCAGGATGTTCGAACCAGTTCCTTTAAAAATAATTAACTTGGGAAATGATTTAGATATACTCGAAGGTTCTGATTACAAACCTGCTCCTACCAAAAAGTTATCGGATACACCAGATGTATTCAGTGATCTCATAGAATCGTTAAGGTAAGTTTATCTTATTCATATATTCCCCTATTATCTTCGATACTTAGCTAGAGTCGTTGACTTTTTTAGTTTGGATCTTGCAAGAACCTCGGGTCTCGAATCTGCTATTAAAATACAAAAAGTAGCAGAGCAGTATTTGGATCAGTTGATTCCAGAGTTATGCGAATCTGATCATGAAGTGGCAGATCTGGAAAGGCAGATAAGGGAATTTAAACTTACTAGGAAGACAAAACTCAATGGAAGTACAAATAATATCGATAAGAAATGTAAAAGTGAGAAAGATTGCATCGGTAGAAAACTTCAAAAGCTAGAAAATTTGTCTCCTTCTAGAATAGAATTACCAGAAAACGTTTGCGAAGAGCGGCAATGTATTAAAGAAAATTGCACTACAACTGTACGTATTGTAACAACATCCGCAGATTTTGTTCATGCATCTCGTTCGATTCAATTATATATATATTTGTATTTATTACAGAGTCAAACTCTTACACCTATTAAATCCAGAAATATAGCAGTGAATATAGAAAAATCTGTAAATCAAATCAAGATAAGGAAATCGACGGTAGACACGGTAAACAGCACGGACCCACCGCGTCAAGATTCACCGCCCATAAAATCCACTTATGCACCTATCCTAAATAGGTGCTATCCTAACATGGAATCAGAAATAGTAAAGGAATCTATCTGCAAAGGTGAAACATTTGTATGCGGTATTGGTAGAGGTAGGGGAAAATTGATACAAGATCTTCAGCCTGGACTGAAAAAAGCTAGGAGGACTTCGGGACCTCCTACACGGAGTATTAGTGAAAGAACTTCGCATAGTCAAGTGTCGCAACAACCGAGTGAGGCGAATTGTGTACAAAATGTTTCACCTCAAGTATCTTATAATCAAATTACAAAAAAAAAGACAGACAATACGCGGAAATCGGATGTAGCGGATAACCATTAAAAATAATTTTTTATTCTTTATTTAATTTCACTCGAAAGCTTTATGAGAATATACTTAAAAAACTGTAGAGCATTATAACATATTATAACACGCACGTGTGTAATATGTTGTAATATGTAAAAGTAAATAAACAGACCGCGCCCGTGTTCCACGCACAGCGAGTCTGCCCTTGAAACGTTCCAACCACTCTGAAACGATAAAACGCTACTGTGCCGTGTTTATAGTATTGAAAGTGTGCATTATGGAGTGGAGAGATAACATAGACTGAACTACCGAATAGTTTTTGACGTACTTTCGTGGAAGTTCGAAACTCGAAGATATTTTTCAAAACGCATAGAGAACAATTTGCTTTTCTTTCTTTTTTGTGCGACGCAGATAATTTTTTTTAATGCAGTCTCTAAATATTTGCGACGGTCCATAGATACATTTATGGACGAGGTATAAAATAAATACATACGTTTTGCATTACCATGTTTTATAAATATCAAACTAATATGTGTGTTAAATACTTCATAAATAATTCAGAGTTTTTCTTTTTAAATAGTTTCTTCAAATACTAATCGTAGTATATAAAGTGTTCAAGTTATTGGGGAACCTTAAGCTTTTTTTTTTGTACAGAAATGCTGGAACATTGTTAAAGTATGTCGGCAGGATTATTCGGGACACCTGTTACTTCCCATATCGTAGCCGCAAGTCTCCTGGAATGTTCTAAAACGCACGATGACGTTGCCAAGCCGAGATGGACGCAGTAAAGTTCATAAATTCTGATTTTATTCGCGGATAATTTAGGAAAGCATGTCTCTGCTAATTTTCTATAAAACAAAGTAAGTGTTTCAAGTGGAAGAAAATAGGAAATTACGGTAATACCAACCTGTAATAATCTCCACAAAATATACCCGGCACTGGAAAATTTTTCATTATGTGATTCAAGTAAACTTTACACTTTAATGGTGATCCCTAAAAGCATATATATGTATACGGTACAAACAGTGCAATATTGTATTTCTGTTACTTTCAAATGCTAATATTTACTCACAGAACTGTCCTCAAACCATAAAAAGTAAGCATAATTGAATGTTGTATCTTTCCACATGACCGACAAGTGTCCTTCTTCTAAATGCATTCTACTTTGTTTCACCATATTCCAGATCTATAAAAGTAATATTCGATTACGTCGATGTTGAATTGATATTTAATATAACTTTTAAATAAATCACCTTCTTTGTTGTAAGAGTGAGAGTTTCTGGATTGGTGAAGTCTAACGTCGGAGCTGTTAGCCGATGAGTGGTTCTGTCTATGTATATGAAATGCACAAGGCCTGGAAACTCTTCTAGATATTTATTGATGGTTAGGGAAGTTCTCGTAGATTATATGGCATTAAGGAGGTATATTTTCATATGTAATTTATTATCAAAAAAATAAAAAAATAACATTACAAAACTGCGGTATTAAAAATAATTTTAGGTAATTGCGAAAGGATATGATCCAAGCGTGAAGTTCTTCAGTGCTTTCACTTTCAGGAAGTCACTGAAATCGTTCAATTTTTGACGAACGAGCCTGCCTACGGTTGTAAGCACGTCAATGCCTTGCTTTAAGAAGTTCTTATCGAAGCACGTTAATCTGTATAATTCTTTTAAATTATCTGTGAATCCAGATGTATTCGATTCAATCTGAAGAACAGATTCTGGATCTCTGGATTTCAAGAGATCCATATATTTTTTCCTAACAAACTCCCACTTTACTTGCAACCTTCTCTGACACATGTCAACGTCGTTACTAACATTGGCTCTGTTCTTCTTGATTCCATCTAACGCTTTCTTCATAGCTAAGTCAAAATTCTCAAATGCTGGTCTTAGCTCGTCGATGTCTCTTTGAAGTTGCAAACCGTTTATAATATTTAAATAATGAAAACTATCGTATAATCCGGATGATGTAGCCAAATTTGTTACTTCCGCTATCATGACAAGATTAATGCCATCGGCTAGTTCAAAAATGTGAACTGCGTTAGCAATGTAATCGTGTTCTGATCCGAGCAGAAGTACGTTGCTGTACAAGTCATCGTCCATTAAAGAATGTAAACCCTCGTTAATGGAAGATTCTCTTGACCCTCCTACAATCAAACAGTTCATCAATACACGGAAATAAATATCATTAATAAACATCTTGTAAAAGTGAAAATCATTACTGAATAAGTTTGTAATATCTTCTGAAGTAGGGTTTGCAAGCTTTACTCCGAAAGCAATTTGTTCCTCTTTGGAAGAACTATTATCAGGCAAAAGAATATCACACCGGTCATCTGTGTTGCCGTACTGTCCAAATTGATAACCACTTTTCCTTTTTAGATTTACTACCCAACACATGAGCATCATCATCAATATATCAGAAGCATATAAGTCATGAGCATTTTTACTCGAATACAGTGATAGAAACTTTTGCTCCACCAGTATCAAAATGTGAACATTAGAGAATTCAGATTGTGTCTTTAATTTGTCACAAGCATCGTGTAATACTTTTAATATTGATACGCCCAAGTCAGTGTTTATCGACAATTGTTCTATTGCTTCTGTGAGCATGCTTTGCTCAGAATTTCTCAGATGCACCCATCCATCTAACAAAGAAGACACTAAGCATACCTTTTGTCTGCTTATCTTCAATCTAAAATAATAATTTTCTTGCATTACTATTTTAAATAAGTTAGTTTGTTAAACCAATATCGCTATGATTGAACTTACATTCCAACATCTGGGCCACAGACGTGTCTAATAATTGCTACACAAACACCTAAACATCTTTTCATCAATTCTACTTCTTCCAAAGAAATATAGATAAAAGTATATCCCATAAATTCATCGAACACCATATTTGTCCCATCCTGACATCTCATAGAGGTGTAAGAATTACCAAATTGGGAAGCCATTACATGCTGAGATGTGACAATAGGAGAAAACAATTGCATTATGATATTTGGATTGAGTCTTGAGTCTGTGTCACTTGTATTCTGCAAACCCTGCAAATAAAAAAAATTATTCATAAGGTACTAAAAAAGCTGTACAATTGATATAAACAGTTATTATTAAGTGATATTAACATGTTTTGACAGAATCATACCTTATTTTCAGAAATTAATCCCTGCATTTTAGCTAATTTTTGTACATGATTTGCAAACTTTTTGTTGCACTTCGTAAAAAGAATATCGTTGAGGTGGTCGAAAATTAAAATCCCCTTCATTTTGTAATCAAATTAAGAGTATTTCTTTCGCTGCAAAACTTGAATGACTGTCAGTGTTTGTCAATACATGAATAGTTTGTCTTTTCACTGATCCGGCTTACGGAATCATAAATCATTCATTCTCATTTGTCAGATTAATCGGTATGCACGTTACACCCTCCCTACCATTTCATTCACAGTTCGTGAACAACTATTTATAGTTGGACGCGTTTAACCCATGGGCCTAAAGGACGGAGCCCGGTAGCGAGGGGTTGGAGGAAAAGATGGAAGGGGACTTCGTACTGTCAGCCATATTGACGAGTTTAATCGTTATATATGTGTAAGGCTTATAGACTTAGACCACATATACTCACCATAGTAAGCAATTCTGTTTCACCATAGTAAGCCGATGCGGGGGCAACTGGCTACGAATTATGAAGCAGGTAGAGAAACTGCTTCTTCTTCTTTGATTGGTTGACGCTTCACAGCTAAACAATGCCCTCACAGTTTTAGACAAAGAGAGAAAGTGGCGAGTGAAAAATCTATGATCGTTTAATTATTGTATTATAATTCGTATCTCTCTTATTTAATAAATATATTTTTGTACAATTTTGAGTCGCCTAAAAGCATTAATCAATTAATGGCAACAACACAAAATATAATTAGTTGACTAAACTTCAAAGAGCAATTAATTGTTTTGCAATGTTCTATATCCTTGGTTTAGTCTCTTATGCCCCAATTTTGCTAAAATTAATGTTTTTAGGCAACCGTGCATTGGAATCGTGTGGGCGATTGTAGCGCCTCTTGTGGAGAATAAACGAAGCTCCCCTCGAGGTCCGTACAGCGCCAATTTGTGCAGTGGCAAAATGCTCGAACTGTTAGCCAAACTCGACTGTCGATAATTTGGCTAGTAGTTTGAGCGTTTTGTCGCTGTACGGACATCGAAGGGAGCTTCGTTTATTCTCCACAAGAGGCGCTACAATCGGCAATGCAGGTTCGCCTAAAAACATGAATTTTGGCAATATTATGATATAAAACTACTAGCCAAATTACCGACAGTCGATTTTGGCTAACAGTTTGAGCGTAAAAGCTTCACTTTTCCACCACAAGAGGCGCTACAATCGCCCAAATATTCTCAATGCAGGGTCACTAAAAAACGTTAATTATGACAAATTACGGCATAGAAAGATAAACTAAGGGTACAGAACTATTTAGGAGATATCGTCTAAGGAAACTAAATGATTTATTTTGCATCGTTGCCATTAATTGATTAATGCTTTTAGGCGACTCAAAATTGTACAAAAATATATTTATTAAATAAGAGAGACACGTATTATAATATAATAATTGAACGTAATAGATCATAGATTTTTATGAACGTAAAAATGGTTCATGTAAGATTTTGTGAATTCGCTGTGCTTTTTGCAATCCAACACCAGGACAGAGAGCTAACAAGTTTGGCTCTGCATCTATCAGTTCACTTAATGTTCCAAAAGTTGATAGAAGAGTTGTAGCATCAGTTTTATTCACTGAACGTATTGTGGTCAAAGCACTGACCAACTAAAAAAGGAATCAGTAATTTTACTTATTAATTATAATTAATAAATTTATTTATTAATATTTTGAATATGCTACCTTTTGATAAGGTGCTGTTTCACTCCTTTCCATAATTCCATCTGGTGGTTTGTTCTCATACCTTTTGTAGGTTTCAATCATTTTACCAGCATTTTCTGCATTCCATGCTAACATCAATGTCATATTTGCAAGAATACACATTCTTATTAAATGCTTTAGGGCATGATGAGGGTCTGCCACATCAATCTGTAAATTAGCAAGATCAAGTTATTATTACTTAAATTGTTCATATGAAACACTTTAGTAAAATTCTATTTTGGCAATAGAAATCAACCTGAACTAAGAGAATTCGAAGATTATACATGTTTCCTAAAGTTTTAAGTCTTTCATGAATATAATCTGGATTAAGCTGATGATATCGTATTGATAAAAACAATGCACAAGTAGTTTTACTCATTACGTAGTCTGGTATAATATCAGCATATTCCCATACGACATTATGTATACATTTCAACAGTGGATTTCCTTTCTGCAAATAATTCACTTTTATACTAAAATAAAATGGATTATGCATATTTCACCGAAAAAAATGATGTTATCATACCTGTTTTACATTGACTAAAAGTGAACTAAAGCTTGATGAATCCTTAGGAATTTCTTTTGAAGTTCCTGGTACTGCTGCATTGTAAAATTCTGAACTCTTTAGATTACTAAATGCAGCTACACATGAAAAATAAAATATGCATGAAAATACGGAATTGTGAAAAACCTTTGTATAAAATAAAATATACCTCCAAAGGAAGATTCAACTTTTGTTCGTTTAGTGAGAGAAGTTTCATCATCCTCTCTATTTTTTCCACCTGTTTTATTATTTTCCATGTCTAAATAAACATTCGTTTACAATCTGTGAAAACATTGTTATATTGTTAATTATGATATATTAATAATACATTGATTCTGTTAAATTGTTTCTTAGAAAATAACGACGTAACTTAAACGATAAATAAAGAATTAGAAAGTTGAAATGAAAATGATTAAAACAAATATTTTAGAAGTTTAAAGCATACAAGCGTGTAACAAAACGCGGTCGCGACCTTGATTAAACAGCAACAAGTAGAATCGATTCGGAACAAATAAATTTGTTGATAAATGCATGCGTACGTGAAGAGGTTAAGACAGTTATCATGAAGAATAATTAATTTATTCAGTTACATAACTTGAGCCATAAACACATGAATTGCGTTCATTGTTTATGCATCCGTTTCTTAAATTTCGTTGTCTACTAATCGAATACAATATATAACCATCATTTATTATGAAGTATTTCACCGTGTAATACATAGAACTTTTCATACTTCCATTGGTAACACTGGCAATTGATAACACTCGATGACACATAGACTTGACATATTTTTCTATTTAACAGAATCGTCGCTTTCGATATAAAGTTTCACTGATGTTACGTAGTTAAAATGAGACAAACCTTTATGCATTCTTTAGAGTTGTCAGAAATCACGAACTACGGATATTTGTAACTGTAACAGAGAATATATATACATATTCGTAAAACATAACCTACGATTTTTAAATGAACAAGGAAAGGTTGGAGACTAAAACTGTCAAACATCCTGCCGTAAAGGATGTTGACATATCGGATCCGCATGGACGATTAAAAGCTATAGCAGACTGTGCCTCTGCTGTAGAAATAGACCCTAATACTCCACCGCAAAGGTAACATTCTACAAGCAAGATCTGTCATCATAAGTATACTTATTACTGTCACATACCCCATACATAATTTTTTAAATATAACACATCAAGAGATCATTCTCATTCTCTTGGTTCATTTTGCATGTTTCAGATATTATCGTTCGGGTGTGGAGATGATCAGATACGCAGACATGAGTATGAAGGATAACGACCTTCTACACGCGTATCATTTATATGTGAAATTTATAACGTAAGATTTATATATAAGGTCTGATAAAAACTAGTTAATTTAACAAATGCATCATTGTAGGATATTTGTGGAAAAGATAAGAAATCATCCACAATTTCATGTAGTCCCGTTAAAAGATAAGCAGCTGAATCAACAAACATTACGCGAAGTCATGACCAAAGCTGAGGAACTAAAAAAGCAATTATTAGAACAATTTAAGGCAGAATATGAGAAATATTTAGAAGAAGTAAGAGAGAGGGAAAAGATCGAGAGGGAGAGATTGAAAAAGGAGGAGCAAGAAAAGTACTTTAAAAATATAATTCTACAAATAGATAAATGATATCAGTTTCGAACAGTTTGATTAATCGAGTTGTAATATTTACTTAGATTAAGAGGAGAGGAAGAGAGAAAGAACAAACTGGCGACGTTAGCAGCTGTTAGAGCAGAAAAAGCTATGAGCACTAGTGTCGTGTCCTCTGAGGAAAACAAGTTGAAAAAAGTTCCTAGTATAATACCCAAACCGTTGATAAGCCCATCTTCTGATATAATTGCACAGACATCTAAAGACAAGTAAGGAAAGAATAATATTTTGCATTATTTGTGGAAAACTATACAAAAATTATTTAACGGAATAAGATTTTTCAGAAGGACACCTACCATAGATCGTTCGACGAAGCCATCTGTGCTTATGAGTGACAATCATACTTTACGGGACATAGTGTTGCCGACTAAATTAATGCACAATTTCCTCAAGTTGGCTTTTACTAATACAATGAATAATAAAGAAACCTGTGGCATCTTGGCAGGAAAATTAGAAAGAAATAGATTGTTAGTCACCCATCTATTAATTCCTGAACAAATTGGGTCTCCAGATTCTTGTTTAACGCATAACGAAGAAGACATATTCGATTACCAGGATCAACATAACTTAATCACCCTTGGTTGGATACATGTATGTATATCTCTTTATATATTTTCGCTTATTTGTGAATTTTGAAATGAAAATGCTAATTATAATTTACAGACACATCCTACACAGACTGCGTTTCTGTCCAGTGTCGATCTCCATACTCATTGTGCATACCAACTTATGATGGCAGAAGCAATTGCCATTGTTTGTGCTCCAAAATACGACGAGTACGTACAAACTATAAATTTCTAAAATTTTCTAATGTACTGTTGCTTGAGAAATATTATCCTTTTTTGTAGGACGGGATTTTTTATTTTAACTCCAGAATACGGATTAGATTTTATTGCAAACTGTAGAGAAACAGGATTTCATCCACATCCAGCCGAACCATCGCTGTATACGGTAATTTACAAAGAAATATATATATATAATGCTGATACATACAATAACTTGCAGTTCAAATGTTTATATTAACAAATGTTCTTTTCAGAAAGCAAAACATTGCAAATTAGATGTAACAGCGATGATAGAAGTAGTAGACTTAAGAAGAAAATGACATCTTTCAACGGTAATGTTATGCACTTGATATAACAAACTATTAATGGTCATAAAAAATTGAAAATACTTTTGCTTACCTAATACAAAAATCTAGAAGGAATGTTGCAAACTAACATTTGCAAAGCTTTCAATATTTTTATGATAAAGTATTTAAGAAGTATTTGACGTATTTAATATATAAAAGATTGCATTTAAAACTGTACTAAAGTTTTTAGTGAAAACAAATTTATCAATAATGCAAAATAAATTGTAGCAAGTGGCACGAGAAAAACAATTTGTGTGTAACTTCGCAAATTATATTTATTAATTAATAATTAAATTAACTGAAAATAATGAAGCTTTATAATAGGTGAACAAAAATTTAGCAAATAGCAACCCGTCATTTAATGTTTTTCGTGCGTATTTATTTTTTTTAACTCTGTCACACAATTTAGTTTCTCTTAACGAGGTTAATGACTCGTCTACGAGTTACACATATACATATATAAAAAAAGGGAGGAGTGGATACGTCTAAGATTACAAAACACGGATGTGCTTCTATTATTTTTTCATGGTACTCATATTTATCCGTACGGATAATAACGTTAGAAGATAAATGTACAAGTTCAACCAAAATTGTTATGAATGTTAGTGATGTGCAAAATCTGTCTATAAGTTTATGTGCCTTTTTGAGAAAAAATGGTGTTCAAGCATGCTGATTACGTGGAGGCTGTACAATATTTTCCAAGATCGCTGTGAACTGCATAAGACCGTAAAATCGAAAAGTAAATAAAGGCGTTGACATTATAATATATGCTAGTCATAATTAATCTACAGAGCTTGCTACGAAGTATATTGAAATTGGTATGTTGTTGATGTATCCGCTTGCGCAATGCGTCGTTGTAATTCTCATTAGAAACGTTGTATATCCGAATTGTAATAGGCAACGGTGTTAATAAGCTCTGAGATATTCGTACTAGTTAAGTAGCTGATGCAGCTGATTCGTGTACTTGTACATTCGATCGCGCGGCTCACGTTTTCCTTCTGCTAAGTTTCTTGTTCTTCGATAAATATGCAGCTCCTCGTATGTAAATACAACCATACAATTTTCTTAATCGTTTCCTTAAGCAATACAAGGTGCAAAGATTAGTTTTCGTCGTAGGAAAAACCGATTTCAATGCCAAATCGCGTTTAACTATACGATATAATATACGCGAGACCACAGAAATGTAAATCTTATTTAATTTAAAAACATATCAATGTAAGAGATAATTTATTGTAACTTAGCTGGCCTAATTTCTGCGTGTATCACGTGAGACGATGTTAGCAAAGAATTTATATTTCTCAAACAAAGAAATAAATTGTGGAGTAATTTAACCAAGACAGAATATCTCTTTTTTTCTTGTTTATATATGGAGCAAATGGTACCAGTCGTTTAAATACATAATATGTGTATGCATGCGCGCGGCAATGCGGGGACCATTGTGGTTTCTTTAGCGGGCTCTAACCGAACGAGATTGTTCGCTGGCCGAGGGCGCGGAATAAAACAACGTGGTTCATAAGAAAGAAATTATTCAGACCCAGGATACGGAGAGTTCTAAAGGGAATCCATTGTAGGCAGACGCGCGTACTCCGTGAGAATGCTTCCCGCCATTCACATCTCCTCGCGTATATCGAATTACCTGCGTTGAAGGGTTTCGCGCTTTGCAGGGTTTTATTGACGGCAGGGTCAATCTATTTTTACGTGGTAGCTTACCTTACCTACGTGCTCCCCGTTTCAGTGCTTGCACACCGAGCCGTAAATCACGCTACGCGAAAGTATTCTCCTTGCGCACGATCCCTTACCCTTGCCAGCTTCACCCTTACCTCCCCGTCTTTCTCTAATTGTCTTTACTTATCGACGCGTCGCTGCACTTTTTCAATCGCACCGACGAACGAACTTTTACGAACCCCATGCTCGCGGACAATCATTTTTCAAGATATCGGGATCCAAGAAAAATACAAATTAAAAAATCAGAAATATTAACGAATCTTCCGGCATCAATAAATATACTATATACAAAAGCTCATATAAATACTATACTCATATATAAATACTATACTCATATATAAATACTCATATAAATACTCATATAAATACTATACTCATATAAATACTCATATAAATACTCATATAAATACTATACTCATATAAATACTCATATAAATACTATACTCATATAAATACTATACTCATATAAATACTATACTCATATAAATACTCATATAAATACTCATATAAATACTATACTCATATAAATACTCATATAAATACTCATATAAATACTATACTCATATAAATACTCATATAAATACTATACTCATATAAATACTCATATAAATACTATATTCATATAAATACTATACTCATATAAATACTATACTCATATAAATACTATATACAAATATAACTCAGATTTTTTATTTCTTCAGAATCGCGTCGCGATTCGATAGATCCGATATGAATTATCAGAATTAACTGCGATGAAGCAGTAAAACGGGGACGTTTCGATCGTAAATGCAACTGCGAAGGTGCGGATAACGGGTCGTTCTCGACAAAAAAAATGATCGCGATCGGTGATCGAATGCCTATCGCTTCTAATGAAAGAATATTATGTAAAGCGTTTGACGTAAAACGGAAAGTGATAGTATACGATTTAACCCCGCGCCGCAAAATGGTAATACGCGTGCTGGCCTATCGAAACGAGCTTGGCATAATTGGAAAATTGAATTTATCTATCGATTCCTGGCCGCGGTGACGCGCGTATCGCATGCCGAGATCCGATGCAGATTTTCTTCCTGGGAAAAACATCGCCAGTCGCAAGATGCGATCTATCGACGTATTAATTGTTGCATACGTAATTCGAATTACCATTATTTAAACATCGCTTAGGCTCGCTGGTTAAATCATCCGTTTACCTTATTCGCGACTGCCCAATGACGTATCGGTTTTTCTTAAAAACGAACGAAAGATCGTTTCCTGTTTCCATTGAACGGATACAGAACCGTATCCGCGGGGTGCGCGGAGGTTTTTAACGGACCTTACCGAGCGGATAAGGTCGATCGAATGAACGATCAATTGTTTCAGCCTTCGAGGACAGATACTTTCATTGTTTCCGTACTTCGAATGGTAATTCTTTGAAAATATCCCCAAGGTGCTACTACCTCCAGCCTTGTACCGTTCTGTGCGAAAAAAAATCTCTGTCGCTCGATCTTGGAAGATCTTCGGACCAACTGAAACGTCAGCATAAGCTTAAACCAGGTGCACGACGAGGTCCTCCCACGATTTTCTCAGGAGACGCACAAAATCGCGTAGAATGGAACGGCAATGTGGCGCGTACGTATCATTCTATTACGCCGCCTTTAATCTTGTTTTTACTGGTTCTTGCTGTCTGATATCGATCAGTGCCGTACAGTGAGAATTTCAGCACACGTGGATCTATTCTGAGAACGTGGAACGAGGTGTACACACTGTGCTATGTGATAAAAGTCAACGCGATTATCCTTAACAGTCGCGGCGATTCATTCGGTATTCAGTAAATTGCGTAATAACGATGATTGGGTATCCACGAATACCTGGATAATGGAATAACGCACGCGAAATGCATTTTAGAAGCAGCTGTTTATCCAACGCGGACGTCTGCGTTTTTTTGCAATTGTACGTATACGCGAACGACAGATAATTTGCAACAGTGTTATCTTTCGTTGACGTAGGAATTTGGATGCGCGATCTTCTCGCGTCGTGTATTACGGATTACGGTAAATTCTCCCTAATTGACGCTCAGGTTGTACACAAAAATGGACAATTTGGGACGAGGAGATTTAGTTTTCTTTTATGCTACTACTTTTTATAATTAACGATTGTTAACAACTATATAAACGTGTCAAAAAGTCTCGATTAATCGCATCTCTCCTTCCCAAATTGTCCATTTTTGTTTCCAAGCCGAGCGTCAATTAGGGAGAATTTACTGCATGTATATTAAATTCTCCCTATTGGGATTATGGAATGAAAATGAATATGATTCTAATACTTTGCTTAACACGTTCCGTGCCACGTGTACCATCGATGGTACACGCTTGCATGTTTACTTAGTGAACTGAACAAATTGTTTACAAGAAATTTAGAACCGAAGAATCAATTTCCACCGCAAGAATGGGCGTTGATAAGTTTTTGTTACGTTGTTATGTGTACGAGAATTAATAATTGCACGTAATACATCAAGTTTTAGTAAAATATCAAAGTGTGAAGATTCGAGTAAAAAAAGCTCGGCACGGAACGTGTTAAAAGACTTTATTTTAATCCTGTATTGAGAGAAGGTATATGAGCGAAACCGATCGAGCGACCAAACTCTACTGAGTGTCCGGTAAGAAGAAACGCTTCTTTTATACCCTTTTTGGGTTCGTCGTGTCCACCGATCAGAGACGTTTTATTTGTCGCGTTTTACATTGTATACGTGACGCTGGGACCCTCAAACAGTCAGGGCACGATGTATATCAAAAGGTACCGGCGACGATGTATCGCGGCATCTAATATATACAGTTT